GTTTACTGCAAAAGAGGTTTTGCAGATCCCAGGCCTCCTCGTGAATTTCCTCAGATTTATTTTAGAATGATTTCCGAAGGCATGCTTCTCTTTTTTCGCACTTCGCTTGTTTATTACGTTGAAGGGGGTTTTAGAACGGGAATGCCATCAAAAAATAGAGACTTTCTTGAAAGTCCTTCCCGGTGCTTAAGTAGCTTCTAAACTGCCTTTTCTGTGCAAGCGTGCCCACGGAAAAAATACTACACCAATAATTAATAAAAACGATCAGGTTCCTACACAACAGGGGGGGGGTGCACAAAGCATGCAGTCTTTTAAATGTCAGATGTAAGGTCACACGTCTGTGTTTCTAAGACCCGCGGCCAAAAAGAATGTTCAAATGGAGGGTAGCGGGCTCTTAATAGCCTCTTTATGGCTGCTTCTAGTCATACCTGACAGTGATTATTCGCGAAGAAAGGGTTACCTTGCTCTTGTTATAAAACCTTTGCCGATCATGATTTGGACGAGATGTTTTCAGGCCCTGCGAGCTAAAAGTTTGGAATCACACTGATTCTCCAGAGAGAGACTTTGGATCATTCTGAGAGATTTACTGTTTCAGATCAAGTCTTTGTCAGTTAATCTTTTAACCAAGTAAGAAATATTTTAAGAACCAAATGTCATTAAATTTTCATAAGTATAGGTTAACAGTCACGAAACCTTGTCTAATGGTACGTCTCTTTTCAGGGCATATTCTTGCGTGTGCAATGTTCTATGCGGCAGAAAAGTGTCTTGCGACCTTAACAGCTAGGATATTTTATTCTTTTGTGCATCAATCGAAAAACAACAGAACATACCCCTAAACAAATCAATTTACGAGCTGGTATGAATTTTTAAAATCTTTTAGTTCTCGTTTTTGGGATGAACTTCTTCCTGAATATTTATGCTTCACTGAATTTACAGTTCGGAGTATATGCGGCGTTCAGTTTAACCGTCTTAAGAAGCAACGAACGCATATTTGGTCTGTTCAAGCGAAATCCATGGAATCATTTTGTTCATAGAATGTTCTGAAATATATATTACTCATTATATATTGACCGATTTGATTGAAAATTAAACTACAACGTCTTCTTTTCATTGCCGTAAACTGCATTTATGGTGGTCTTCCAGCTAAAGTCGTGTATAGACTGTCTATCTAATCAATAATTATTTTGTTTCAAGATTGAAACCGCCAGATAAACCTGTTTTTTGTCGCGAGATACTTAGGTTAATTTGAAGCTGTAATGTTAATTAGATTGTCCGAGTAACTTAAAATTAATGCCGTTGAAAATGAATGTTTTTGGTCTATCCCAGGTTTTGTCTGATAGTTTTTATTGAGCTAGGTCAATATCAGTGGTATAACAGCGTAATAAAGCTACCCGCAGATATAGTAGTATGCGCTGTACACAGTAGGCCTCTTGGGTGTACCATAAAGCTGCTGATGATCGACAGGAAGCCTTTCTGGTTCCCCACTATCAGCCAAGCCTGGTGGGCAATGATACCATTTTTGGCATGTTTGCGTAAATAAAGCGCCTAATCATTGGATGAAGTGTGTCTTTCTTTTTGTCTTGCATCGCAAACACTATAAAGTTTAAATCTGCAATACTCGTTTGCCCACATCTTCTTGTTATCTGCATTTTTATTTTGGTTATGCTAATTTGATTGGGCTAATATTTAATTCTAGAAAACGGCGTCTAAAGAGATATTTTCGTTTTATGGCCCCTGTTCGTTTTCCAAGTGTCGCGACAATCCCACCTCAATCAGCGAAACAAAAGTTTTTTCTGACTGTTGGGGGCTTCTCTTCCTTAAAAGATTATTTAAGATATAGAATGCCACAGAACAGGGTCTTTGGATTTTTGTGGCTTTTGAGATTCAGATGAATGTGTCGCAACTCTTCCTCGATGTACAGTGGTAGATGACTTTTCGCGGCTTATTTTAATCGCAACCCTTTTTGTTAAAAAGCACTGAAGGAGGATAAAGTCACTGTGATCTCGCTGTGAGAGCATAAGATCTAAAAAAATCAAATAGGTGTGTTGGACGACGGCATGGTTGTCAGCTAATCCCTGCTTATGACAGAGAGCACAAACAGCAGCCGACGATGTCAAGTCTATGCCTTAACTCAGAAGGTACTAAGCGCATTCTGGAGACGGAGCACCTCCTTGATTTTGGCGTTGCACTACACGAACCGAAGATTCTGCTTTTCAGGAACATTTTTAACTCAAAGGGCAGGTCCGTAGACAAGAACTTGGGATCTCACGTCAACTTTGGATAAAAACAAAGCCGAGCGCTCCAAAATTCGCAATTTTTTACTAAGCAGACATTTCATCATCCGGTTGTCACTGAAGATGAGATACTGACTCTTCACGTCAACAACAGGCACAGACCCAAATGGTCTTCTATCAAATTAGACCAAAACAGTAGACTTCTTTTGTGAGCAATAAGAAAGTTTGAACCAAGCATTTGCCGCTAAATATCCAGGACCAGTCAGTAAAAACTATACCATTCTACTGCATGAAAACGCGAAACGATACCCGGCCCGGCAGACTAAGAATAAGATTCGAGATTTACGGGGGGAACTTTTGTCTTTTTCACTACATTTATCAGACTTTTCACAAATCAACTATCATTTGTTCAAGTCACTGCAGTAGTTTCTGGGCGTAAAAACCTTCCAAAATGTCGGTGGCGCAAAAACTAAGCTATGTATTATTTACATCGAAACAAACTTTCTCTTATATAGGGCTTACTGTAAATCCAGTTTTAAGACGAGAAAACTATTGTATAACGATTTCAATTATATGGCATTAAATAACAAAACCTTTCTCAGTAATTATCTTTCTTGCCACTTAATTTCTAGTCGCATTAATTTCTAGTGGAAGTAATATTCATGTGTCTGACCTTACAAATCGGCAGAAGCTCAAACGATCCGAAACCCAATTTAGAAAATAAACATGCTACTTATATCTTCTCTAACAGAGAAACAGGACAAAGGATTCTAACCAAAACAAACTAAATCCTCATAGAGCTTTTGTTATTGTTTATGATCCGGATGTAAACAGATCAGTCGATCTGTACGCCGCGCGACATATGAAGGCTAACGTGTGTAACTGATTTGACAACTTTAAGCGTTGGAGTAGGATATTTAGACAACTGTACAAGACCACGCAGTGCAGTCAAAGGCGACAGAATATATATTACTTTTCGTAATGATTTGATATGGTGTATACAAACAATTCGTAAGAAAATACTCTTCTTTGATATCCGGCGCAGCGCTCAAATTATGATAAACCGAGCCATTCCCTATAGAAATTGACTCCTTCCCCCCAAAACACCTGGTTAAACTTCTTTTTTCTTTAAATAATTTTTCTCGGGGACTAAGGGAAACGTTTTGCCTAAACGGTAACACGACAATTAGTTGATCGGAAGGGAAAGTAAATTAGAGTCCAGGAATGACACTGTCTTACAGTAAGTCTGACTGCATATTCCAGAGCACTTCTCCCAAATAAATTCACTTTATATGGACTGGATAGAGCACATTTTCAGAAGTGAGGATACTATTTTGACGTCGCTTGTCCTACTATTTTATGGTATAACAACTTGTACTCCTGTCGGCCCATTCATAGGAACTTACGACGTCAGGTTTTCTGCTACTAGCACGTTTTATTGCCGTGGATTCGGTTGGTTCTGGATGTGGCGTGGGCACAACAAGCGCATTCCATTCGAAAACGTCCATACAAGGTAAACCGAGAATAGTGCTATAACTCTGTCATCAGGGGATTGGGGTCCACTGAATTGTTGTGATTTATTAAGGGGATTTGATCTCCGCACCTTATATTTTAATGGAAAGAAACTCGCTTCCATATAGCCGCCCCACACACACTGCTTGTATTTATTACTAAAAAGTGGTTCTACCATTCTTGGTTAAGACCAATATCCCTACAAAAGTGTCACTGAACCTTTGCGCACAACTTTATTTCCGCAACAGGAGCCTTCCCTGTCGCACAAAAGTTACGAAATTCGCAAGTGCTCTAAATGTAAAGAATTAATAAAACTCGTTATTTATGAGATCATCTAAGACACGTGAACCTTAAACTTTGTCTAAAAGTGCAGACATTATTGTCCCGCTTCAAAGCCCTGGGACGACCAGAAATACGTTACTTACAACTGAGCGATATTTTAATTCACAATTACAATGGGGAAAGACTCCAACAAACGATCTCTTAATTTGTTGAAATTTTCAAAAAATACGATGATTGACGATGAAGCCGAAAACTAATTATATAAATTTTAAAGACTTGGAATATAAGTAAACATCAGTAAAATGCCAAAAAATTTTGCAGCAACGGACCAGACGAGAGAATTGTAACACATTGATGCTGCTGCGTGATTTTAGGTTTTTCTCGCAATGCCTGATAATTTGTTTATTTAACAAATGTCGTAACAGAGAGTTAAATTAATTTACCTTGCCTTGACTCGCTGTCTAAAAATCAAAATAAAATTTGTATTTGTATTTTCCTTGTCTGCTTAAACATTTTAAGGAGATAAATGCAGGTAAGACCCCACTTTCCTCTAAAGACATTGGTGGACGTAAAATATAGACAAATTCTCAGAAACGCTTGGAGATTTTGTGGAGATATGTGTATAGTAACTTTTATCAATAGGTTTCCGGCATAAAATGTTAAAGTTTTTTGCAGGACAGTTTCAGGGATTTGGAAATAAACAGCAAATGTGCTTCCCTTGTTAACAACGAATAATCGGCTGAGTGATTGCATGCCAAGTATCAATAGTGCTTGGTTTAGGGGCTCGCTCAATAGAGAGTTAGAGATGGTAGACATGAGAAGATCGGAACATATCAAATGATTTATTGCGTATTTGCAAAGCAGCCTCGATGGGGTCATTATACAGTCAGTATCTCCATATAATGTGGAAATAATGTAGAGGAAATAAGGCAAATAGGTTGAATACTTGTCTTTTCATGACTGTCAGAGTTTCTACCTAAAGAGGAAGAAGAAACATTAAAACTTCGAAATACTCAACAAGAGAAAGGAACTGTGTCTTAATTTTCCAAAGAATTATTAGAGATGATTTGCACTGTTTTGAAAAAATAATCAAAGGACTACGTGGCTAGGCATTCGTTCGTTTTGATTGCATGTGAAGTTAAAAATAAGGGGGCAAAGCAAATTAAATTTGTTTTCATAAGTGCCCAAACTAGATTTTCCTAACGAAGGAGGCGAGATGTAAGCTTTTGATACAACTTTCCACCCATTATTAAGCTACTTTCAATTTACTTTGTCAACGAACTTCTAACTCGAATCGACTTAGGGCTCTCAACAACAATAATAAGGGGTGTTATTAGTGTTTCCACAAAATATTCCCGTGTCACTGACCAAGGATCCGTTGCAGGACGAGACAGTTGCCTGGTGGAACGTTTTTCATCTGTTTCCGTATTGTTGACGGCATCTTCGCCGCTCTCTGGTGAGCCGATGGTTCCGGACGTTTTTGTCTCTGAAGACTTTAGTGAGCGTAGCCAAGGGTGATTCAGTGCCTCACTGGCGGTAAGCCGACTAGAGGGAACCCAACAAAGGCAGCGCTGGACGAAGTCAAGGAGGTCTGGATCCACATCTCCCAAAGAGTGTTGAAGTAGTACTTCCAGAGTGAGACTTCCTGGTTGCGCCCTTTGTATTGTCCGTGTAAATGAAGCTCCGGAAAAGCAAAACTGCAATAGCAAATGGTAACGAATATTTTACTGAATTATCACAAATTTTCGTCATTCAGTTGTTCTATCTTAGTTGTGCAAGTGTTAAGCTATGGAACTGACTACCGCAGTAGATCTATTGTGCTGGTGGAAGCAGTCAAAAGGAGAGCCGTTTCTACGCACATTGTGCTTTTTTTAGCTTAGGGGTACCAACCTGCTCATATTATGCATGTACAAAAGAGATATAAGATTTCACGCCCCGAAATAAATTTTACTCGATGTTACAAGAACACCCTGGGCAGCAGAAGATTGATAATGCCTTTTCCGTTCTGGATATCTTGTTTTCATTAACTAATAAGTAACGTTTCCTCCCGATTTTACGAAACGAACGCTTCTTTTCCACTAACCTCGGTATTCACCATGAATTTTAAACCAACACTAGAATAAGGTTAATAAAATTAAAGTCTACATTTAGAAAAAATCCAAAGCATAAAAGGTCCGATACCGAGCTTGTATGCAGTTTATTTCTTTATTCGTCTTTACGTTGTTTGGTTTACTGTTCACCACTGATGTGAGTGAGATACGAAGAAGAAAGTCTATATAAAGGTTTTAAAATGCCGTATGCCTTAATTCCCTATAATTTCTCTAAAGGTACCCTTAAATATGCTTAATAGAGAGTGCAGATTGATATTCCCAAAGCTGGTTCCTTTTAATGGGACTGTTATTTTTGGCGAAAAAGTAGGGAAATGAATTCCACTTCATTTTTGCGGACAGGTAAGTATTATGCTTTATATCTGCTTAGAAATAAAGCGCTTTAGAATTAACTGAGCTTACTCCTGCCACTACTACTCTGTCGTTTACATGAGGTTACTTCCAGCCGTTGTAAGTTCTCAAAGGTAGAAATAGCACATATTCATATCTGCCGTGTAGGTAAACTAATGCCGTTAGGTTATACTGGCCGTCCAACCAGTGTCCTGGCTTACAACCTAACCATTCTCTTCCCTATGTCTTGACAGGTTGCAATGCAATATATGAAAGAATGAGTTCAGCAATTATTCGGTACAGCACCTGATTATCCAAAACATTTTAGTGTGTTTTTTATTAAAAGAACAGGCACACATTAGACATGCATGCTAATTCAGATTTTGTCTTTGTCTGAGGAATAAACACTTCCACTAAAATTGCGATATTATTTATTTTAACAGGAGTTATAACATGGCTTGTATAAAGGTACAAAATGGTTGTAAGCATGAAGATACTTGGATCGTTGTTTTAAAACCCAGAAAGGAACTTGCTTTTTCCCGATCTGCCGAATGATACCGTAGTCGACCGGAATCGCAGAAAAAGGAATTTAAGCGCCTGGCGTTACGAACAAACGAAGGTGGTGGTAAATCAAGAACTTCCACTATGCACGCCACTTGATCAAATTCATCCGTTCCCGGAAATAATGGCGTCCCTAAACAGACGTTGTCCAAAATTACATAAGTTCTTTAGTCTTATTTTCGTTTAATAGTGCTTTACATCATAAACAACTCCGACTAATAAGATATATGTAATTTTAAATGGTGTGATCAAAGCGCAATTATTTACAATGATTTTGACGTACAAGCTGGTCAAGTTAGACACAAATCTGGCAACCTGTATCAACACACTGGTAATTTTGTCTATGACTTAATTTTCTACATAGTGCTTCCACATACTCGTGCGATACGAAGTGTTAAGTGCTTTTCTCATGTAAAGCACTTCACGAAACCTCTGTGCAATTACGAGCATTTGTGTGTTTTTAGGCATGGCTTGCCTTTCAGATGAGTAGTTAGTACAAATGGCTGCAAAATATAATGGTGATAGCCCGCTATTCCGATCTTGCGAAAAATGATGACACATTTTTATCAATTCAAAAACAATCAAATGAGTGGTTTTTTTAATAAAAAAAGTTTTTAAACAATAAAAGGCTTGCTTACCCGTTAACAGTTCCATTGTTATACAGCCAAAACTCCAAATATCGATTGCTGTGTCATATTCCATTCCGAGAATAACCTCAGGCGCTCTATAGAATCGCGACTGTATATACGTATAAATGGTGCGTCCAACGTAGCAACTTGATCCAAAGTCAATTACTTTAACCGATGGATATCCAGGACGGATCATTAGAATGTTCTCCGGTTTGAGATCGCAGTGGATTATCTGGTTCCTAAAATGAATTAAATTTGCCAACGCACAAATTAACTATATGCACAGAACGTGCAAATTACTAAAGGCCAAATAATTTTGAAGCTAGTGGATGCAACAAAGCTTAAACCTCTGAAAACGCAGGCAATAACTTACTTATGAAGAAACTTTAAACACTTTAATATGCACGCACAAATTCTTTTGACAGTTATACACGGTAGCCCTTTAAAACCGTTTCGACTCATTATCTGATATAGATTAACACATAAAAGTTCAAAAACGACGCATATGTTCCCATTCCATGAAAAGCTTTCGTAAAATCGGACAACATTTTGGTCGTCATCAGGGTCCTCCTTTTTGAAAAATTCGAGTATGTGTAGTTCTTGTCTTATTATTTGTTCAAATTTAGGGGACATCTTCATACACTTGATCGCACACTGAATTCCCAGTTTTTGATTAAGGGCTCTGAAAACTCTTCCAAAGCTTCCATTTCCGATTTCTTCTAATAACAAATAGATATCTTTTATAACGTCGCCAGGTTTAGGTTCTTTTCCCGGGATTACGGCTGAGCATTCCATGAGGGGAATCCGCGTCAGATTGAAGCTGTGAGAATCATGGCTACAATCCGTGGAACGAATGTTTGAGTCATGCTTTTTCCAGCGTTTATCAGCAGTTATCGACAGAGGACGTAGGACAGCCTTGACGGTCCTTGGTTCTGAAAATCGTTGGTATGTAAGAGTTAATCTCCTGTGTTCATTGTTTTCCTTCGATAGACCAGCGTCAAGAGAATCATGTGATGTCGAGTATGTAATAAGGGGATATTTCTCTTTAAAACTATTCAGTCTACAGCTTTTGTTGTCTGAGGAATGATCGACTTGTTTCAGAACACTGTCGTGACAAAATGTCGATCTGTACGTGTAATTCAATCTCCGCGGAAGTTCGGGACGAATGACGGACGCCGCGTTAAATTCACGAGCGTATGAAAAGTTCGACAACGGCTTTGGATGATGATTTGATTTTTTGTATAATCCATGACAGTCAAGGGAATTTAATTCTTTTTGGGCTTTTAGGGAGATTGCTTGGCTGCCACTTCGGTACCGTGCATAACCCGTGTGAGGACATATGTATTTCGACTGCAAAATTGTTTATTTTGCATGCGGAACCTTACTGTCGTATTGTGCACGATGTCCTTGTATGTGTAAAACGGTTGTTTGCATTTCAATGTTTCTGTGGAGCTTGGGTAGCTGTCTGACTGTTCAAAACTAAAGCACTTAAATATCACTTCGGTTAAAAATATAAAACATTACTTGGGATCCGTCGGTGTTTAAATACGAAGGGAAATAACGGTCAATCGAAAACTTGGAGCGGAATTGCCGATCCATGTAAGGAAGCGTGGAATACATCGTAAACCAGAAAGTGTTTGCAAAAATTTGAAAAGGAATATAGGTTATATAGGTTATACTAGGTCGAAGTAAATAGGTTTTAGGTTATTAAAAGTGCTTTTGAACTGCCAACTTGGCGTTATTGTAGAGTTAACATTTACGAGAATATGCCAGCTGATAACGTTATTTATCCTTGATTCAAGAGGCTTTCCGCAGGTCAATAACATAATATTTTTGATTTTTTTGGATATGTTCTGAACGTAAACTAGCGCACGATCGACAGAAAGATCACAGTCCTCTGCCAACTTATTTATTTGACTTAGAAGGAGTAACTCGTTATACCTAAAAACAATGGCATACGTTAGTCGAAAAATTTAAGTTTTACGCAGTGTTACTCGCGAGATGACATCAGTTGTTTTTTTTTAGTTGCTGCAAAAGTTTGACCGTCGTTGCCGATTATGTCCATCGAGTTCTCCACAGCATGGTAAAGGTAGGGATGGTGAGTTGCGCGTGACTTAATTTATAGTGAATGTAGATTTGCGCAGCATCTACCGCTCTATCTCCTTCGCCTCCACCTGGATTTGGTGTCAAGACATACTCAGGACCAGAAATAGTTCACAATGATATAGGACGTGAGCAGAGTATCCCTCACCCTCTCCTCTCCCACCTGGATCTGGTATCATGACAGATTCAAGGGGACCACAGGCAGGAAAGATCGCAGGTAGATCCCACGACGAATACCCGCACCTAGGCTTGTCACCGCTCTACATGGCCCAAAGAGTACACTGACTCAGATTTTATACTTTCAACAAAAGCAGGGGTGGCACAGAGCATTATTGGCGCTAAACTCCAGAACAGAAGGCCGAACAGGACCTTTTAAAATCCCAAAATTTACTAAATGATATGCAAGAAACCGGTGGGGTAGTTGAAATCCAAAAGACTTTAAGCTTGGGCCCTCTTTTTAAGGATGACGTGGGGGAGATGCGGCCAAGACCATTAAAAGTCATGTTGGAAAGAAAGCAGTAGGCAGACCTAATCTTGTCGTCAAAAGTTCGACTACGAAACAATCAGCATGCATAGGGTAGCGTGATAAATACTCACTTTCTTCCATCTTCTTCACAAATTCTTATGGTTAATCCTAATATATTCTGATTCACGGGTATTCGTAAGAGAAAGAAGATACAATTTCAGATAAATCCAAGGAAGGTGACGGCCGGTTTGGCAAGAGACGCTTTTAATTTATCATTAGCAGCGTAGTAATATTACAGGGCATCTCTTTGTCAACAACAGTTCGTTCGTAGAAATTCGGCCCTGGACGTTTCTATTTAATTACATACGGTTTCAGATAACGTGAAGGAAATCTGGAAAAGATTGCACGAACTTACGCATACATGCAAAATTACAAAACCAGTGATTTTGTATTAAGCTGAAGATACTAATTATATCTAGTAGTAGAAAAATAATTGCATTTCCAAAAAAGATTTACAGGAAACCCTTGGCTCTAATTCGGGGGTGTTGCGCTAAAATTCATAGTGACGGATGAAAGGAATGGGGTGGGGGACAGCGAGGGATCGAGCGAATCCACGTCCGGCAATGTTGGACTGAGACTTAAATCCTAAAGCTTCAGCTCACTTGAGTAAAACGGATTCAGACACATAAATAAGCTTTGCTAGCCGCCTTTTTGCAAGATATATCCGGTTGTTGTGTGCATTTTGGCGTGTTCAAATAAAAATGCGGAGGATTTCAAGTGTGCAGGACAGTGCGAAGACAAAAGAGGCAAGCAGATGTATGGTTTGGAGAGTCAAATTAAACAATAATAAGAGTTTTGCGTTTAAGGGCCTAGAGGGCAATGTCAAAACAAATTTAGCGCTTAGTAAATTGGTAACATAAAGACGATGTAGATTGTAATGGTTTGAGTGGCCAGTCATACGGGGGAATTTAAAAATTATGCCGTGTAAATTAGCCACAATTTTTCAGGTCCTCCGCGATTTATTCATTATCATATGATACCAATGGTGATAATACCAACAAATGTCATAGAAAACTTTTTATAAAAATAGTAAGCTACGTACGAATCAATCCTGAAATCAAAGTGAGGGGAGGACCCAGGAGTACCTCAATCGTAAAAAAGACATTCAAGAGAAAAAACCGATCAGCGAAAGGACAAGAAAGATAAGGGTAGGTTCTTCCCTGGGGGAAAATGGGACTATAAAGAATGAAACGTCCTTCTAGTACACCTGGGCATACTTGTGAGTGACCGACCTATAATAAGACGTTTGGCAAGGTCAAGGCGCGTAGCTCAATTTCAAAGATAAGTGAAGCTTTGCATTTACTTGGATATTTTTAAGCAATCCACGCCTGGTTGTTTACTTGAGTCGTTTTTAAAATCGCCTTTCACTACAAGGCATAATTTTTCCCAGTTCTGTTTGACAGTCTGGCAAAATAGTCGTATTTTGTAAAAAAAATCCTTTGTAGTGACACAGTTGCAGACTACCTCTTTATAGTTTTCGTAGTTAAATAACAGTAGTACCTGCTATTCAGTGCGTTTTTCTGTGCGTTAGCATTGTTTTGATCCTTGTACTGTAACAAAAAAACTTTTCTTGTCTGTAATGCCCCGCAGAGCACGTGCTAAAAGACGAAAGTTTGCGGCCTCCCCACCGTCTCTTGGTGCTAGAATTGTGACTAAGGACATAACAGGTGCCAGCATATGTTCTTTGCCTTCTGCAGATCTGATTAACTCAGAAATTCTTTTAGTACATGTAGAACCTCTTGACCATTAAATCGTCCATAATGCGCCTCTGTTAGTCGTAGCAGGCCATCAGCCGACGAAATACTCCGTCAGTTGATATATGGCGACATAAACAGCAATTCTGAAAAAGTAATTGAACAAGCTTTTGAATTTATTGGGGTAATAAGTTCGGAAACTGAGGAAAGAATTAAACGCAAGCATAATTTTGTACTGCGAAACATTCTGAGCCACTTATCTGCTATGGAGGGAGCGCATTTGTTCCTACAAAGTTGTAGCTTGAGTTTCAGTGTCGCACAAGCGAAACGGCTGCGCTCGCTTAGCCGTAATGCGCCGATACTAGTTACCCTTTCCTCCATGATAGAAGTCGATTTTATCTTTTCGAGGAGGGAGATAACTAGGGAATTCTGCCGTTAATGGCGCAGCTCCGTTTCGCCAGACCTCACACCCCTGCAGAGAAGACTGAATAAATTAACATCGGCAAAAACCAACACCAAGATAAAGGCACCTACTCTCATTTTGAATAAGTCCTCTACAACATCGTCTGAGGCCTCTGCACGTCACGGCATAGTCAATTCCGTAGGGAATTCGACTACTCTTAATGCTGCGCTGTTTAAACACACCACCACACCTGGTATAAACACGTCTCTATCGACTGCCCCAGCAACCCCTAGAAAGCCTAAGCATGTGTTTAAGTAAAGGGCAAATCCAATTGCTGTCTCAACCACTCAGACACCCAATAAATCCAGCACACATTTTAAAAGCTGTTCCTCCACAATCGGCTAACAGTGCCTCAAGCACCCCGACTCAAAACGTATCGTGTTTCCAACTGTCCTCCGACCCGCATATCAAGGCATTTAGGCCGAATGTGCCGATTTTCCCGCCGTTTAATAGAACTCTTGCTCCAATGGAAACAATGCGTCCCCCACCCCATAACTTGTTTCCTCCATGGCCGTTTTAGATTGATAGATAATTTTTATTAAAGACCCGTCGGGGTCCCATCAAAGCAAGTTAAAACAAATTTACATGCGAGTTTTAGACGAGGTAGGCAGAATCTTTACAAAATGCAATTCATCGTTTCTGAATTAGTAGTCCATTGAGAAACATAATTAGTGGTGGGTGAAAAAAAAACTCCACACAAAAAGTTAAAAATGATTGGATTAATTTTACAGGAGGAAAAAACCCCCCAATAAAAATAATGACAGAAAAAAGCGAGCAGGACTGGCCTGTAGGTGGCGGTATATAACTGAATGTTGTCGGTCATCGTCAGGGTAGCAATAAATGTCAGCCTTGAGGGGTACGTATGCGGGTCAGACAGGACTGGCCTGCATGTGGTATTGTATACGGGATTCACAATTGACATCGTCTGTGCCGGATTGATACGCCGCATGAGACTATTCGCGTCAAAGAGGCCAGACGAGAGGAACCCAGATGCGATTGGCCACAGCACGCTTCGAGCTCAGCCGAGCAGTGGGGAAGGGAGGTACGACCAAACTACAAGTAGACGCTGAATACTGAGGGTTTCGTCGTGAGCGTCGACAGACCGCATGAGGTCGGAATGCCGGAGATGACATCAAAAACCGCGAAAATTGTCGCTATGGGGGAGGAGTGATAGCAGTGGATTTAGAACCCAATTAAAAACAGGGGGTTCTAATGATATAATTAAGAGCTACCACTTGATCTACCACTTAATCCCAGGGGACCCTTCTCGAAGTCAAGAATCTAAGTGTTCGGGAATGAGACCGTTAACAGTGCGCTTATGCTTTCCGGTGTAAGATGTTTGCGTAATTTTGACTTGAATACCAGTAACTTAGGCGATAATCTAATTTCATGCGAAAGATTATTCCAAAGGAAGGCATATTTGGAAGCAAAGAAGAGGGAGCGCTTAGATGTAGTACAAAGAGGCGGCGGAATCACCATGCAGGAGTTGCGCGTTGCATAAGACCGATCTCTCGGAGTGAGAGTGTCAGTGAGCGGAAGACTGGAGCTAAAGTTGATTCGAAAAAGATAGCAAAGGCCAGCTTCGAGTCTTCTAACCCACAAAAACTTAATGTTCGCCAGCTGACATCTCTGAGTATAAGAAATACCGGACGAAGCTTGAGAGAACAGTTTCCGGGTGAAAACCCTCTGAACATTTTCGATTTTATTACGGTCACAGGCGTTCATTAAACCGAAGAAACGATAGCAGTATTCGAGAACTGGAAGAACAAACATTTGATAAAGTCTTAGCTTCATTTTCGGAAGGAAACAATTA